TCTGTTGAAGTGAACATTAGCACCACGTATCTTGTTAATTAAACCCCAAGAGGTTCTGTTTACTGTTTTGAAAACACAGAACACTCATTGGAACGAATAGGTAAAGCATTAGGAATTTCTGATGTTTAATTCTATCAGGACAAAAGCCCCAATTCTTGAAACATTCACTAGTCATAATCTTCCTCAAGAACAAAGAGCCGGTTCAGCTTTTCACAAAAGTTCTTTTGAAAACATCACGCTAACTCAATTTAAGTTTTACGACATCGAGTTGATGTCAGCTGTGACATTCAAATCTGATATCCAATCATCCCTGGAACACTGTTTGTCTGATTTGCTGAGACAAATAGCACATAAAGCTGTTACGTTGACCTGGGATCAAAACAAATCCGTCTGTCAAACTGGCTTAAAACGCACCTTACATTCCCAGCATAATGAAAAAGGAACAATCGGATTTCTTAATTGAATCAAGAACAATGTTTGAACATAATGTCACAAATTCGATTCCCTAAAGAGAATCATTGTTGAAATGTGTGATAGATACACGCAGTTTTGCCAGATCCCTTGCAAATACTTATCAGAATGTACTTTTGTGTGTATTGCTACGTCAATTGATCTTGATTCCGTAAGTAACAACAGCCTCCTTCAGTTATAAGAGGGGCGGTGGGGTAGCCTAGTGGTTAAAGCGTTCGGTCGTCACGCCGAAGACCCAGGTTCGATTCCCCACATGGGTACAATGTGTGAAGCCCATTTCTGGTGTCCCCCGCCGTGATATTGATGAAATATTGCTAAAAGCGGCGTAAAACCAAACTCACTCACTCTCTCACTCACTCAGTTATAAGAATAAATCAATCATGTGACTATTCAATATTTGAAGGTTTTGGCGTGTGTGATATCAAAGCATCTGATGTCATATCGAAAATGTTCGTTAAGGAGAAAATGTGATTACACGTAGATGCCGTTCCCCATTTTGACTTGTACAGTGTGTTTTTTAGGTGAACAATTGACTAGTCTTTGCATGTGTTTGTGACAGCTGCCACCAGTGGGAATGGATACGCTAACGTTTTCGAGAACCCCTGGTGTTATCACTATTTGATAGTGATTCATAAGCACCTGCTTATGACACCATACAATGAATTCTTCTGTTACAAGAAACCACATGGAATACTTAATAGTATCTATATGTAATCTCATACTGACCCAAATCCTGGAATTGTATTTGTAACTCTTGATATATCACGCATGAGAGTATGAACACATTCCTGGTCATGAAAGTATAACCGAGGGTTCAACTTAATCGGGTGAAGAAATGGACTTTCAACCATGAGCAATACATCCAATCGTTAGACCTAATCAGAAAATGCATTTCTATCTGCGTGTACAACCTTCTTAAGTAAAACGGATATGCACACCCCGTTAGTAAAATGGATGTTCACATCCTTCATAGATATAACGGATATACATATCTCTCTTTAGAAAAACATACATACACATCCCTCTTTAGCAAAACGGATATACACATCTTTCGTAAATATAACAGATACACACATTATTCCTAAGTAAAACAGATATACACATCCTTCCAAAGTAAAACAGATACACACGTCCTTCCTAAGTAACAGAGAAATACACATCCTTCCTAAGTAACACATAAATACACATCCTTCCTAAGTAACACAGAAATACACATCCTTCCTAAGTAACACAGATATACACGTCCTTCCGAAGTAACACAGAAATACACATCCTTCCTAAGTAACACAGATATATACATATCCTTCCTAAGTAAAGCAGATATACACATCCTTCCTAAGTAACACAGATATATACATATCCTTCCTAAGTAAAATAGATATACACATCCTTCCTAAGTAAAACAGAAAAACACATCCTTCTTAAGTAAAACAGATATACACATTCCTAAGTAAAACAGAAATACACATCCTTCCTTTTTTTAAAACAGATATATACATTCTTCCTCAGTAAAACAGATATACACATCCTTCTTAAGTAAAACAGATATATACATATCCTTCCTAAGTAAAGCAGATATACACATCCTTCCTAAGTAACACAGATATATACATATCCTTCCTAAGTAAAGCAGATATACACATCCTTCCTAAGTAACACAGATATATACATATCCTTCCTAAGTAAAATAGATATACACATCCTTCCTAAGTAAAACAGAAAAACACATCCTTCTTAAGTAAAACAGATATACACATTCCTAAGTAAAACAGAAATACACATCCTTCCTTTTTTTAAAACAGATATATACATTCTTCCTAAGTAAAACAGATATACACATCCTTCTTAAGTAAAACAGAAATACACATCCTTATGTAATACTCACCTTATGCTGTAATAAGAAAAAAAGGCAATACCTTTTGGATGTTGCAACTTTCACAGACAAATTCCAGCAAACCCATCCTGGTGAATCACACCAATGTTGGTGTGGATGTGTGTGGAAGGACACCAGAAACGAGTTTCACGCATTGTACCCATGTGGGGAATCGAACACGGGCCTTCGGCGTGACGAGCGAACGCTTTAACCACTAGGCTACCCCACTGCCCAACCTCAGTAATCCTTATATACTGCACAAGCAAAAAAGATTCTTACACACAACATCACCTCACCCATCCTTACACACCCTGAATTACCCTTTTACACGTCATTACCTCAGCCATATTATTTCACTGCTCACCTCACTGATCACATCCATTCTAACACACTGTATTACAATCATCCTTAGAGACGACTTAAAATTATCAACATTCCTACATGCTCATCCTGAATTATTAAAGCAATCTCGGTCTATGTTATGTTTTTACATAGAAAGACATATTCCGTTACATAATAAAATATATCTGCTGAAAGCTGAGTCGATTGTAGGTTAAGAATAATAAATTACTAATAGTCAGCCATTGTATGGGACATCAGGTCACTGGTGCGACGAATATACGAATGTGCTTCAGCCGTCTGCCGTAAGATCTTTGAAAGTTATGCTAAGCCTTGGATGCTTTAACCCTTATCAAAAACCTTTGAGCAACAGTTCAATGAAGGTCTTTGAAACAAAGCTATGATGCACACAAAATATAGACACCAAAGGCTTGGGACGCTGGCATTTTGCTTGACATAAAAGGACAGTTGACTATTTGAAAATTGAAGTCAGCCCCGTATTGATAGACAGTCTGAATCGTTTATTGAAAACCTAAATATATAAAAATGAGGCGGATTCAAAGGTCTATAGCTATTTCTAGTTTAGTTGGGTAAATAACCGGAAGGGAATTAAGTTTTGACCGTATAATATACGTTTACAAGAATCTTTTGACAAAGCGTATCATAAAGAAGAATGATGATAATTTTATGGATACACAACTTTTTTTAATCAGTATCTTACTTCAGAAACACCTGGCGTTGATCCTTCTTCACGCTATTCTTCTAGACGCCACACCAAGTCCTCATATTAACCCTGTTTAAAATCGCTGTCTGGGATCCACGTAATATTTTAACCAAGCTACGTAACACGCAGTGTTTATACAGACGATGGTGTTACAATTGATTTGTTCTTCTAATCCATTTGTACTGATTAAATGATATCGATACATCGGAGGGGAATATGATATGTATTTGTTAAATAAGTCTCACCATATTGTTTGCAGATGGTTGATAAAACGGATGTATGACACGATGCACATGACAGACACGTATAAATTATCAGCAATGATTCGCGTTACGAGATATGACTTCTTTCATTAAAACGATTTATATTCAGTTGTCAGCAAGCTTAATCAAGTTTGGACTATCTAATGACAGGAACTCCGGACTTAATGAAATGGTTGTGGGATATTTATGTTTATTCATTTAATTCAATATTAATTGTTCAACCTTTGTTTGAGCATATTTAGGACAAACCATCACATCATGAATCGTTTAGAAGTCAAACACATTTTTCCAGATAGAAACACGATTCTGCAGTGTTCTGAACTAAATCATTTTCTGTCATAAATAGTCAAATTCATTTCATTTGTTCAATGTTTATTGGTGGCAAGTATTGGCCTATTCACACACCAATCTTATGGAAATTGATAGTGAAACTAGGCTCCAGGGGTATAAGGCTACAATGAAACGTATCCATTTCAATTACGTTACATTCCCGCGAGAGTTGTTTCTTTTCTACCTTTCCATTCCCCAGAGTAGCGGCCAGGTTTAACTGTTGATAATACGACTTCGACAAGTAACCTTACTTAATTCCTGAAATTAAAACGGATGTTGAATAACAATATCCCATCACAAACCTGTCCATCTCTCGTGGCGGATGTTTTTGCCAAGCTTAGAAACTTTTTACAAGGCTCAGGACAGTAGGTGATTCTTTGGGAAAGAGGGAAAACACAAATATAATAGTTTCTATTGAACTTTCGTGGACTATTTCCATACGGCACTGAACCAATTTAATCGGCTCTTGCTTTATAATAGACCACCTATTGTCCATTCTCGGAGAATCCACATAAGCAAATAGGCATCGGGGTTGGGAGTCCATAAGGGATTGGTGTTTTATGGAAGCGACTGTGTTGGAAGATGATACTTTTCATTGTAATGAGGCTTTACTCCTATGGGTGATACCCATTCTCTTAACGTCAGTACATCATCGATTCTGTTACCGCTGTGGATGATATCCTCTTTGTGTAGAACAGACCACCGTAGGTGTATCAATAATATATAACACAACAGCTGGCTGAAATCACAGAATATTGAAACAAACCATCCCGCCCATGAAAAAGATCTGCGAGAACAATTAACTGACAACCAAATCCTTGATTTCAACGGCTAGAGCGCAACCATCGATTCTAGGATACTCCACCGTAGGTATTCCGCACCGCGCTGATTGGTTGGTCTGGAGTGACGTTGCCGTGGAAACCAACGCCTCATGGGGAGGTTATTGGCAAGTGGGGTGGGCTGGAGGGTTGGGGGTGGCGTTGTAGTATATTTGGCACGACTGGTCTCTATCTCGATCATTTCAGTTGCAAGTGTGACTTCCAGGACGTTTAGCAAGAAACCACAGCCTGTTCTACCAAAATGGAAGCCTCTGCTATTAGACTTAGTATTGGCTTGGTGGTCATCCTCGTTGTTGGGTCAGAGGCAATGGTGAGTAATGAAACTGATTTCAACTTTTTGAATGAACTTTTTATATGTAGACTTTCACCGGTTGTTTATAACTGTTAGAACTTTCATGTACGATAACAGTACAAATCTCGATAAAATGTAAAAGTATCACCTATGAATTACATATCGAAAATGTTGTTTCCAATTGGTGAGTTTATTCTGTTAGTTTTGTACTTCGATGTTTGTTCAGTTTCTGATTTCCTCAGGAATGTACTGTTACGCGGAGGTACAAAAAATGTAGTTGAGTTCACTTTTGTCGTAATGTCTCACATGGCATTACATATTTCATAGCGGTAAAGTCTATATTCCTTAGCGGTCTGAACTTTTATTTGAGCAACATGTACACGTACAATTGAGCTCGTCTCATTCCGACTCTACAGACCGACTCTACTGTACTGTAAAACTCTGGGGTTTGTAAATTCAAATAGAATGGGCACTGTAAGTTATACCATATTATACACGAACTTTGTTATTAGGATATCAAATTCGTTAATAGAATCTAAATGAAAAATCTTTTCACAACAATGCAATATATATCAACAGAAAACTTTCACACGCTCGGCACTGGTGGTGAGACAACACTGAAATCTATCTCGTTTCTACCCAAATAGTATCAGCTGTGTTCAGACAACTTACTTGTATTCATTTTCCACTTGCCTATCTTTATCTTACAACAAGGTCGTGTACAAGTGTTGCTAAAATGAGGGAAAAGGGAAAAGAAACTCTTAAACTCCCCGAAAAGTATAACTGCCCATATCCTAAATCTCTTATCATGATTATGCCTTGCTGTCTCAGTTTGAGTCAAAGACTTGGTCGTGTTGAAATATTGAGAGGACGTTCCCGGAAACGTCTAAATCAACCTTTCAGGTACTTTTTAAGCTGACCTTACCCATTCATTTCGTAATGACTGACTGGCTGAGTTTGGTTTTACGCCGCTTTTAGCAATATTCCAGCACTGTCACGGCGGGGGACACCAGAAATGGGCTTCACACATTGTTCCCATGTGGGGATTCGAGCCCGGGTCTTCGGCGTGACGAGCCCACGCTTTAACCATTAGGCTACCCCACCGCCCCCATTTCGTAATGATATTAATCCTATTCAAATGTTGAAATGAACAATAATGTTCTCTCTCTGAACATATCCGATAACATTCACAGTGACGTTTGAAATCTTTCCTAATTTCTTAAACTGTGCAATTATTATACCTCGTCCGCGTCTCCAGCTCCAGTTCTGAAAGAATATCACAAAGAAGAACAAAGAAAAAACATATACACGTGTACTCTCTTTACTCAAATGTTACAAGTTTCGGGACATGAAACGTTAAGGTTTTTATGTAATAAAGGTTTCAAAGTTGCAATTTATCCAAAGTATAAAATCGATATTTCGTTTTTATCTTAATTTCTCCGTCAAAGATTCTATTGAAGAATATGATCGAGCAGGAATAGGATAGTAATTATCCAACACAAAAAGGTCGACCTTAAGAATAAGAAGTACTTGGCTAACCCACCTGGCCTGAAAGATGCCATTACTCAAGGACTGACAAAATATGTTATTGATGTGATTACGCGGCACGAAAGTTCTTTGAGTAATTTAATGAGCATATCAAGTTTCAAAATAATTGAAGTTTGCGTCAGAAAAAATCACAAGTAGCTGCTTTTGACCTTATAAATGATTACATTAATAGTCGTTGTTTAATCTCCACAGGGAAAATCATTACTGTTGTTACAGCGGTTGAAGGGATGAGGAAGGGGATATTTTGCATTAAAGAAGCGACTCACGATTGTACAACACGTGTTCAACAGTGAGTGCATCAATGTCTCTAACGTTGAACACGCGGGGGACTGCGATCTTGATGGCTTGTATAATATTTACTTAATGATATCCATCCAAACAAATTAAGCGAAACCAAATCTACATTCGTGTACCGGGATCCATTTGACATAATGTCCTCGCTGTTGCTGGCGTATGAGTTACATCCTATGATCGATGGATCATAGTACAATATGCATGCCTCGAATGACGTTATGTCAAGAACACGAAAGTGAGGTGAGGTGAGGTGAGGTGAAATTGGGTTTTACGTCGTGCTTGAGAATATTTCGCTCATATGACGACGTGCATACGTGTGTATGTGTATGTGCGGCTGCTTGTACTAGCCCAGACTTAAGCTGGTTTTATAGTGCTAGCCCACTGAGATACCATGCCGCAGTGAAGCATGAATACCCCACTCAGACACATTATACTAACTCCGAGCCGACTAGTCCTAGTTGTACCCATTAAGGCCGAGCGCCAGGCAGGGACCAACAAGTACCATATTTTAACGTCTTTTGGTATGACGCGGTCGGGGATCAAACCCGCGACCTTCCGCTCTCCGGGCGGACGTTCTAACCACTGCACCACGGAGGCGGTTAGAACACGAAAGTAATGAAGTAAAGCGTGATTGTATTGCTGAATGCGATTTCTGCTTAAACATAAAGTACTTACTTCTTACTTTGTGGTCAGTGCGTTGACTGGTCAAGTCTAAAACTGGTCAATGCATATGACTGGTCAAGCCCAAAACTCCCTTGATTCCCCACTATTCCGTACAATGTGTGAAGCCCGTTTCATCAACGGTGATATAGATGGAATAACAAAGGAAGGGGAAAACACACTCACTCACTCGACTCACTCCATGGCGTTACAGATGCGCATGCTCGTATTGGAGCCTACGTCATCATATTGTCCATCTTCCCTGATCCTTACAACTAAACGTATTCTCTGTTTACGGAATTCGATCAAGTGTCATGCTCTGTGGGACAGCATTGTAGATTAAGTGTTTGCTCATTACTCAGAAGCTCCAGGTTCGATCCCCACACGTGTACGATGTGTGGAGGCCTTTCCTGGCGCCTCCTGTCGTGATATTGCTGGAACATCGCTACAAAACGGCATGAATCCAGCTCATTCGCTCACAAACTGGTAACACGTTACTCGGCATAGAATATTTTGCAAAAGATAATTTCGCTGTGACATTTGTTGCAATGGGATCTAATGATAAAAGTTTTAGAAACATCTGAACTTAACTCGTCTCTTTATGGGCATGACTCGTGTCATCCACTCGTCTCTCTGTTCATCAAGCAGTATGTGGGTACCCGGTAGAAACGTGTTCAACATCTCATGCATACTAGCATCTTTAACACATGGTACATGAAAAACACGGTCGTAACATTAGACAAGCACCAAGCTTGGATCAAGTATATGGCTTTCACAAGTCTTGTCTTAAAGCACACACCTTTTTGGAAAAATCCCTCTCTTTTATTTGTAACAACTGAAAATAAAAAAAAATCCCAATGCCTTGTTATTAGATCAAGTGCCACTCTGCATCGATTTTAAAAATTGAGGATGTGAAACTGGAAAATAACGCCTTTTTAAGTGTTAGAAATATTCCTGTAAACTGTTAGTGTAAATTATATTTTATGGTTTGAAGCTAACCTGGGAGAGTAAAGGATAATGAGATTTCAGTCTGACATCTGTAAATCTAATAGTAGCAGCACTGTGGCTATTTCAAAAGAAGAACTTCCTGTAAAATAGATAAAAAGATACTGGGTTATCGTGACAGGGAAAATTAACCTCTTAATGTATGAAGCGTTTTTCAGGAGTGAAAATTTTGGTGATTAATTCAACGAACGTGAACGTCGTACTCTGATAATAATATCAGCAGAGATATAATATCACCGGCGAATGCATTTAAGCTCAAATACTTGACTTCATCAAACCATGCTTCAGCCTAACCAAACTCATTCGTTAAGGCAATAATGCTGAGAGAGACGGAATCAGACTATGGGCACGAGCAAATACTGTTAGCTACAGCATCAATCGCCTATCCTTGAAAGATGAAGACGAATGGCGCAGTACCAATAAAACAGAACTCGGGAAATTATGAAATAGAAAGCAACGTGTCGAAACAAAGAGTACGGATGACGCTGGGTCAAAATGATGATAAATCAGATGTCGAAATGTAAAATTAACCCCAAGACACATCAACTTGAAAGGCCTATCTCCTTCCTATTTGCAAGACATCACTTGTCCAAACTCATTATATAAAAGGAGTTGTGTCTTCTTCATGCTTCAACTCGTCGCCAAGAAACAATGTACATCCGTTGGACGCCTACAGTAGCCTTAGGCACAGTGTTTTTGTCTATTCCAAAACAAGTCGTTTGTTTCCCAAACGCTGACTGCTGTTTTCCCTTATTAGGAACGACAATCAATATGAAGGAAGAATGGCACATGAGGGATCATTTGCTTGTACATTGTAAGGATGTTCAATGCTTTGTCTCATTTCTTTTGTACACGGAAATCGCAAAAGTAGGTTAGATATTTTCAACATGCTCATCCGGCATAATCATAACGTTCGGTCACGCGTGGTTTGTCCTAAACTATTTTTTATTATTCTAGAGGAAGATGACGTTACGCTCGTAAGCAAGTTTTCTAGTAGTAGTGACAAGATGTTTGTCTTCCTACTTTCACTGTTTTCATAACTTTCTTAATAAGATCTTGAGTAGTTAAATCCCCTTATAACTTGATCTCTGTAAACGCTGTCCACAGACATCTCTCCAATAAATAAAACATTGCTTCTATGACATATTGACCAGTAAACCAATAAACCACTCATACAAAACTGATGAGACAGTTTGACATTTTAAGTAAAGCCACTCTTTGAGATATCGATTTCCATAAAGTGAACAGATCTTTGAATAAAATGTGCAGTTACTTTCTAAATACTAAGATAACATAATATGTTGCTTCATCATTACTTTGTTACTTCATGTTACTTTTGAAAGAATCTTTACTCTGGAATATAAATTTTACCTTAATGCTGTGTAGTTTTTTGTGTCGGAATAACCTCTTTCTATGTCTTCCATGAAAGCATCATAAGTGTTGTTTTTCCTTCTCATCGACATTAATAGAACAAACTTAAATGGTTTACGTGCATGTTCTACAGTATCTGG